GAGCTGGTGGGGAGGGGTGGGAAGGGAGAAAATTGCGGCAGTGAATGAATGGAAATCCAAAACTTCTGTTAAAAAAAAAAAAGTACAGTAGTCTAGGTTTACAGTCCTAGTTAAAATGTCTTCCTTTATTTAAAAACAGATCTACTGTGTGGCTTGAGAGTGAGGAATGAAATCTGAAAGCTGAGAGAAGAAGCCTTTTTTCGTTAACATGGAGAACAAAAGGCAGCGAGCCAGAGTGCAGGGAGCCTGGGCTGGCCCTGCTAAGAGGAAGCCCATTGCTCAGACTGGTAAGAACTTGGCGGAAATCTTCTGTGTGTTTGTCTCTAGGGACAACCACCATCCTTATCTTACTAATACCCTTTTCATATATAATAGATTCTCATTTCAGCTGATGATAAGAAGTTGTTCAAAGCATGGTTGCTATTTTGGTTTTGTTGATAGTAAGACGAGGGTGGATCTTTGATGTCCCTCGTTTTTAATTATTACCCACAAATCTTCCAGTTAGTGTATTAAGGTCTTCTATTGGAAGGGTGGGGGGGACAGCACAGGAGAGGAAGACTCCAGATAAGATGGGTTGATGCAGTAACTGGCGTCAAGAGGGTAGATGTGTCAGAGATGGTGAGATTGGCTCAGGATAGACCAGGGCTCAGAGCCATTGTGCATAGGGTTGCTATGAGTTGTAGTCGACTCTATGGCACATAACAACAACAATGTTGACCAGATCATAGAATTTATCCAGGTTGGAGACCTTCCCACAGGAAGTGTATTGGCCCTTGCTCAACAGGTGAGCCAAGCAGCCTTGGCCCTGGTTTGAAGTTTGGTCTCTTCCTTTAGCTCCCACTGCTCAGAGTCATTTCCACCAGAGGCCCAGTCAGACCTGGAGGAGCCAGGAGCAGCATCTGTCTGAGAGAGAGTTCGTGTTCAAAGAACCCCAGCAGGTAAAGTTATTTCTCCTTCAGCAGCTACAAAGATTCTGTGAAAGTTACAAAGTATAAAAGTTGTATTCACTAGTAGACATGATAATAGTGATTGAATACATTTACTAACAAATAGAAGCATGAAAGAACATTTTTTTTCTATGAACTGTGAATTCTCAGTTTGTGGTGCAACTGAGGATTTCTTTGTAGCCAGCCCCTGTTCTGCAGCCATCCTCTCTCATTCCTGGTTTTTCAGCAAGAAGGCTGCACTATGGGGTGAGCTATTATGTATAAAAATGATAATAATAATAGCCCAAGCGGTTCTTAGTAAGGTTGTAGCAATTGCCTGTAGAATTGAGTTGAAATTTCCATTGCTACAGGAAAATACCTTTATTTATTTTCCCCCTCACAGGGCAAAAATACAAGAAACAGATTTACTTTTTTACTTTATTTTAATAAATTCAATTAATATAAAGCAAAACATTGCTTGTTTTTATCATGGATTTCTGTGATACTGATTTTAGTTTGTTCTGTTCTATAATCATCACCATTTTCTATTTCTTAAAGTTTTCAGCACCCTAAATAGGAACTCAATACCCCTTAAGCAATAATGCCTCCTTCCCTCTCGCAGACAGAGAGGTGCCTCTGTGCCATTTGCCTGTTCTAGATAGAAGGGATTGGCTGAGTGGTAAGAAGCTGCACTGCCAACCCAGACACATGCAGTTTGATTCCACCAGCTGCTCCATGGGAGAAAGATGTGCAGTCCCCTCCTGTGTAATTTCCAGCTGAGTGGCACACAGCATTCTAGATATTTCCTATAAGTGGAAACATGCGGTATTTGACCATTTGTGTGTGACTTCTTTCACTCATACTGTTTTCAGGGTTCGTCCATGTCATAGAATGTGTCAAAATTGAAATTCTTTTTATCTATCCCTGAATAAGATTTCATTGTATAGATAAGGACACATTTTGTTGATCCATTCATCTCTTGGTGGTGGTGTTGTTAGGTACCATTGAGACAAGTATAACTAATAGTGACCCCGTGAACAGCAGGTCTGAACCCTATCTTGTGCCGTCCTCACAACCTCTGACACACTTGAACCCAGAGCTGCAGTCACTGGGTCAGTCCACCTGGTTGAAGGACTTCTTTCGCTGCCCCTCCACTTTTCCAAACATGATGTTCCTCTCTAGGGAATGGCCTGTCCTAGCAGAATGCCCAAAGTATGTGAGACACACCTTTATCTTCTTTGACTCCAAGAAGCGTTCTGGCTGCACCCTCTGCAAGCTATATCTGTTCTTTTTTTTTTTTTTTCTTGTTGCGTACTGTCAAGTTGGATCCAACTGGCACAGGAGGAGATTGCCCCCACTTCTCCAGTGGGGCATCTGGTGGATTTGAACCATGCACCTTCAGGATTGTTGCACAGCTTCTTGCCACTAGGCCACGAGAGCTCCCTTTTGTCTGTTCTTTTGACAGTCCATCATATATCTATTCAGTACTATTCCCCAACACCACTGTTCAGAGACATCAGTTCTATCATTCTTATTCATTGTCTTGATCTCAGATGCAGAGCAAGTGACTGAAAAGACCATGGCCTGAATTAGGTGCATATTAGTGTTCAAGTTGACATCATTGCTCCTTAGTTAATTTAAAGCAGTCCTTGACTGCAGACTGTCCCAGCGCCGTGTGCCTCCTGATCTCCTGACTGCTGGTACTAAACAAGTGTTTTGATTGTGAACTCAAGTAAGATGTAAGTCAAGTAAGTCATTGACAGTTTCAGTCTTTATCTATCATGATGTTGCCTGTTGGTCTAGTGGTGAGGATTTTTGTTTTCTTGATGTTGAGATTCAATCAATATTGAAGTGTTTGACCTTCACCAAGCATTTCAAGTCCTCTTCACTTTCTGCAAGCAAAGTTGTGTCATCTGCATAATGAAGGTTATTGGTGAGTCTTCCTCTGATCCTAACGCCCTATTATTCTTCACAGAGTCCAGATCTCCAATAATTTGCAAATTAAATAGGTATGGAGAAAGCAGCATACAACCCTGATGCACACTGTTCTTAATTATAAACCATATGTGATAATGGTTACCCATGGCAAACAGTGTTTGGTGGAGCTCCCTGATTAAAACAAGCCTGGAAGCAGGAGTGGCATCCACTTCTGAAATAGCTTGCCTGCAAAAAACCCCATGAACCTGGAGAAATGACAGAAGTTACACAAGTGATCAGGTCTTTCTTTCATAGGGTCGCTGAGTTGTCTACGACTCGATGGTACTTAACAACAACAACAGTGTTCCCTTGCTCTCTTTGCACAGTAGCCTCTTGATCTATGTTTCGATTTCACATGAGCACAGTTACATATCCTGGGATTCCGATTCTTAGTGTTAGCTATCACTTTGTTGTGATTCACATAGGGCCTCCTGTGGGCTGTTTTTACCATTTGGCTTTTGCAAATAATGCTGCAGTGAACTTTGGCATTCAAGGATCTGTCTGAATCTCTGCTTTCAGATCTTTAGGGGTAAATATATGTGAGTGGAATTGCAAGGTCACATGATACATTCAGCTTTGTGAGAAGTCGCCAAATGATTTTTTAAAGCAGTCCCACCATTCTGCCTTCCCACTGCATTCCCACCAGTAATGGATTGTTGTTGTTGTTGTTGTTGTTGTT